TCCAGCGTTGATTATGTTATTATCCAATAAGAGGGGGACACACACACACAAAAAGAGGGACACACTCTCAAAAAAAAAGAGGGACACACACACAAAAAAAGAGGGACACAGTGGAAGGGAGTAGGGAGGGGAGAAGTGTTACGACATACGTCGAGAACGTGTCAAGAACCTTATTATACACAAAGTTGCAAACAGAATCAAATCCAATGAAACTTATCCAAACTTATCCACTGAAACTTATGCAAGCTTATCCACTGAAACTTATCCAAACTTATCCACTGAAACTTATCCAAACTTATCCACTGAAACTTATCCAAACTTATCCAAACTTTTATGAAAGTTGATTATGTTATCCAAACTTTATCCAAACTATGTTTGGAATCTTTGGATTATATCATATGCGAATTTGAGAAACTGTTTAACGCTGAAATATCCGAGATAAGAAAATGCAACTCTTGTTCTCCAGGGTGCATGCGGATGTGTGACATCCTGCTGTGATGCGGATGCAGATGTGTGATCCTGCTGCGATGCGGACTCTTGTTCTCCAGTGCATCATCATCGTCGGCATCCTCGGAAGCAAAACCCAGTCTGCACCTGGTCACTTGGGAGTTCGCTCACTGAATCCCTACGGTAGGTCTGCATGACTGCAGCTACTGACTGATAGCGAAAGCCCGTCAGCATCACAGCAGGAAGTGTGACATCCTGCTGTACGCACCATGCATATGCGAATGTGAATACATACTAGGTGGTGCATGCGGATGTGTGACATCCTGCTGTGATGCGGATGCAGATGTGTGACATCCTGCTGGATGCGGATGCGGATGTGTGACATCCTGCTGTACTCACCACCAGGGCAGTAAAACTGCTACCATTTCAGGCATCCTCCTGTAGACTTAAGTGCTTTGCTACTTTTGACAGCCTGGTCGAGGGAAGAAACTACCGTCTTCATCAGAATCGAACGCACTGTCATTATCCTTGCATCTAGATGGAAAGTTGCCCTAAATACAGCTACAACGACGGGGCATTCTATTCGGGTGAAGACGGTAGTAAACTACCACCGAACCAAAAAAAAATATACGGGTAACACGTAGCTGTCCTCAGTTGTTCTTCTTCATGACCGTACAATAAGCTCACTCCCAACGAACCAAACATTACAATAACGTGTCATGGCCTGGTTCAGGGCACCACAGCGGCTCGTTGCGTACTCACTCCCACCACACACATAATGTGTGTGCAAGCAAAGTGCGCGCGTGATCGTTACTCAACACTTCCACCACACGCATAATGTGTGTGCGAGCAAAGTGCAGGCGTGATCGTGACTTAACGACTGTAGACTTGTGCAAAGCGAAGTGTATTCACTCTCACTGCAGACATCGACGCTAAAGCAAGAATATATGCATCCCCTCATGTGTGCGTGCGTGCAGCGTGGAGCAGGTGTGACTTTTGCTTATCGGCTGTAACCTTGTGTAAAGTGTGGTCACTCCGACTGCAAACAATCACCGGAAAAGCAACCATGCTTACTCCTATGGCACACATCATGCGCATGTGAGTGAAGTGCAGGCGGGGCCGTTTCCTTAAACGACTGTTGGTGCACACATCACATGTATGTGAGCAAACTGCAGGCGTGACACCACGTGCGTGCGAGCAGGCGTGAAAAATGTGTTCCCTCCCACTGCTAACGATCACCCGTAAAGCAACCATGCTCACTCCTACTGGACACATCATGTGCGTGCGAGCGAAGTGCAGGCGTGACTGTTTCCTTAAACGACCGGTAGTGCACACATCATGTGTGTGTGCGACCAGGTGTGAAAAATGCGCTCCCTCTCACTGCGAACGAACGTCGTCAGCAAAGAAATCATACTCACTCTTACCACACACATCATGTGCATGCGAGCAAAGTAGAGGCGCGACTCTTCATTAAATGACTGTAAAGTTGTGTAAACTTGTGTAAAAAGTGTACTCGCTCTCGCTGCACATGGGATCCGAACCCATATCCCCTGCTTGGAAGGTAGACAAGTTACCTACAACATGCACGCGCACGCAAACGCAGCCAGCATACAATACAGCAACTACCAAACGCCAAAAAAGTCAAAAACTTGAGAGCGAAAAACTGGACGCAGCATGACAGCAGTTAAATACGTTGATCAGACTCGACCTATGTTCCCTATTTACGAAATGTTGCTGTGTTGTTGCTTATAGCTCGTATACTGAAGTGTAATTACTAACGAGTCTTCAACGTATTTAACTGCAACGTATTTAACTGCAACAACGTATTTAACTGCAACAATGTATTTAACTGCAACAACATATTTAACTGCAACGTATTTAACTGCAACAATGTATTTAACTGCAACAACATATTTAACTGCAACGTATTTAACTGCAACGTATTTAACTGCAACGAGCTGGCGAAAGTCACATCGTATACTAAACGTTGAACAGAATCGACCTATGTCACCCATTTTTAGTAATTAGCCGAAAGTCGATTCAACTTTACACTGTATACAACAACATCGAGCTGGCGAAAGTCACAAAAAAAGTTAGAAAAGCGAAATACGTCGCATTGCTTATGACAAGGAACCATTGCGACGGGCGCCGTAAATCTCAACGGAAGGATACATTTTTTTAGACGTTACACTTTCTGGCCGCACCCACAGAAAATATGTACACAAAAGTAGGAGGTACATAGGTATCGTGCTCGTCAACGCAGCGAAGATCATCAACATGACAGAAACAACCAGACATCGTAACTTTGCTGACTCTGTACCTGAAGGGGGGATGCTCGTATCACCCCCTCCAGCAGACCGAGGCTGGATTTCAAAAAAAAAAAAAAAAAAAAAAAAAAAAAAAAAAAAAAAGCGTTGGTGACTCTGTGCCCGGCTGGTGGGAACAGGTCGAACACCATCCATTAAATATCTCATAAAAAAAAGTGGTGAAGTGACAAGTCTCTGCTTCTAGGCTTGATCACATGAAGACAAACAAGGTCGGCTTGTCGGAGAAGGGGAGCGCCACAAATGAACAAACGAAAGCCAGCTGCCGAACTCTGCACCTGACTGGTTGGTTCGAGGTAGGTAGAGAACATCATCCGCCAGATCTCAATCGAAAGTCTCGAAACTGATAAAAAGTATTAAAACCTCGAAAAGAGAAAAAGAATTGCAGCAAAGTCTCTACTCTCAGGCTCGATGAAGAAAAGAAGATCACTGTTGATGCGATTTCAATGACGTCACAAAAGCTGCACTTCATGCCGACGAATAGCATGTCGTGTCGCATAGTAGAACATGGTGTCGAAGACACGAGGGAATGCTCGTGAGTTACAGTTCTCTGAAGACACGAGGAAATGCTGTGACTCAGTTCAATGAATAGAGTCAGCATTGACTCAGATGGGCACTGAACATCAACATCCTTGTCGTAAAGCTGAGGTGTAACATCACCGCCGCTGTGCGACGAATAAGCAAGCAGACCGGTTGGGTCAGCGCATCTGCTACCTGCGCCTTATTCAACACACTTAACCAAGCTCCAAGACAACTCCATCATACAGATCAGGTCAGTCACCAATCCTCTGCCTTTGCTTTCGCACATCAATACGCTTGGGTCTTACCATTGGACACATTGAAAACATTCTCAGATTGAGAATGCCATCGGACTATGAAAAGTTGAAAACCTTTTCGGCTTTGTATGTGACTACATTTCGACAATCTGTTGGAATGGGGACGAGAGCCTCTGTTTGATCCACATCCAGGCATTCTGACAAACTGAAACCGACAAACTGACGAATTGACAAACTGACGAACTGATGCTTATGAAGGTCAGAGTGCGAGCATGGACTCTGTTTTCGATCGTGTTTGATCTACTACCTCCAGGCGTAACAAACTGGCCTGAGAGAGATTATGTGGTAGTCTGACAGCTGAGACAAGAAGGCTCAAGCTCGCTGCCAAGCGCCAAAAGACGGCAAAGTCTGAGACCGAGGAGAAACTCAGCTCAGTCCCAGAACGAATGACACGTTGAAGAAAAGTCGCCATGTGGTTCTCCTTTCCCCCGAAAGGATAAAGGCACGCTGCGGCTAGGCCCCATAGATATATATGGATCGACGGCCGGGATGAAGAGTGCCTGGCAACTTGAAAACTGGCATCCTCCATGAAATGTCTATTGATCTGTCACATAAGTTCCATAACAAAGCAACGACTCCGTTCCCGAGATAGGTCATCAAGGGTGATCGAATGCTAATAACTTGGTAATAAGTGAAAAAAGAAAAAGAGGAATGCTAACAAGTACGAATAGTATATCCATCTGTAAAGTGAAACTCACAGCTTTGCCTTGGGCTTTCTCCGAGTGTAGTGTGCACTGCTAGCAATGACTTGCGGGGACTGTCACAACCCACCTGAGAGTGAGCTCTTGGGGACCCAAAGGTCTAACCCACCCGGTTGGCCGGGTAGCGGGGGGAAGGGGG